GGGGGCAGGCCCCGCTGAGGGCCCCCCCCCCCCCCGTGCACAAAAATTTGTGCACTGGGCCTCTAGTAAAAATATATTTTAACAAAAAAGAGAAAGAAAAAGGAAAGGAAAGGGAGATTTTGGAGGACCCTGACTGATACAAATTCCCTGAACTTAACTCTAATATCAGACATTTATGATACAGTAATAAATGATCTGAGTTGGCAGTGGAGACAGCTTCTTGGTCTGTTGGGGTCCAACCCCAGCAGGTCCAGGGGTTCCCAAAGGTGTGGACGGAGTCAGCGAAGAAGGAATGACACAGAGACAGCGTTCAGTTGATCAGCAGCCTAGCCAGGTTCTGTCTTTATTGTCCTGTTACATCTGTACTTATACCAGTTGATTTTAATCCTATCCATTCTATTCCAAAGGTTAGGGCGTTTCTTCCCTGCAGCGACTGTGTCAAGGGGCTTCCGGCAAATTTTTTTTTTTAAGCAGCTAAATAAGTCTCCAGGAGTTAAAAGTAATAATAAAGTGATTGATGAGGTTGAATAAATGAAGACATGGGTTATCCCTTCCCAGCAACACTTTCATGGTCTTACTTCTCTCCACTCCCCCTCCTCCCCTCCCCTCATGTGGGGTCAGGATCCCAGTAAGGCCCCAGCGGCTCCTCCAGCTGTGGGGACCAAGAGGCAGAACTGGACTTGATGTGGTGCTCGGAACTGGGCCCGTGACAGCCTTGGGAGATGGTCCTGTTGCAGGGACGGGTGCTCGGGCTCCATCCTCGGGGATGTGGCCGGAAGGTGTACGGAGGAAGCCCCAGGCACCTCTCCAAATGCAGCCAAGAGGGGAGGGGATGGAGCAGGCGCCGGCCGCTGCTGTCCACCGGCTGCTGCCTCAGAGCTTCTTCAGGCGGCTGTACATCTTTCTCTTGCTCTTTTCCCCAGCCCAGGTCCGGCTCTTGGTACGGAACTTCTTCAAGTCTTCTTTAAAGTCCTCATGGTGCATGGGCCGGTAGCTGGGGGGCTCACAGTGAGACGGGCATTTGAGGAAGAACTCCTTGTACCCGCCCTTCAGGATGTACAGCTCAGGGTAGTGGAGTCTGGGGTACTCGTTGCTGAGCCGATCTCTCTCTCGCACGTAGCGGCACATGCGCGGGCCCCGCTCGGAAGAAAACTCGCAGTGGAACACCACGATGACGCGCTTGCGGTCGGCGGGGGAGATGGGCTTCTTGAACAGGAAGTCTTCCACCTCATCCTCCATGTGCAGGTTCACCGCGCCCTTGATGTGGCCGCCCTCATATTCGTATGGGTACCGGCAGTCAATGATAACAAACTCTTCAATGAGGTTGGCAAACTTGCCATTCAAGACAGATGCCATGATTTCTGGAGAAATGTACTTTAGGTCCTGGTGCTGCCCAGCGACTGTGTGGAAGAGATAACCCTTGGAGAAGTCCCCTATGAGGTCTCTGGGGTCGTTGTCCGGAATATTCTCGATGGTCCCCTTTGTGGGGGATACCAAGGCTGGAGACGGATGCAGAATCTCCCGGGGCTTCTTGGGACTGGCTGCCGCCCCGGGACTGGCCCTGAGCACGATCTTCCTCCGCTTCGTGCTTCCAGGTGGGGACGGCTCTCGAGATCGGTCTGGTCTCTTCAACACTGAGCGCGGGTCGGGGCGGCCCGTGGAAGTGGAGTCAAACAGCTGGCATCGGTTGCCCACGTTTGCAGTTGTTCTCATGACAAGGGGAGACGTCCAGAGGCTTGCCATGCGGGAGGAGGTCTCCTCGTCATTCTTCAGATTCTCTCCATCAAGAACGTCCATGAAGCCATCATCTTCATCAGACAAAGTGGCAGTCACGGGTGACTGGAGCATAAAGAGTGGAATGAAGTTCTCTGGCTCGCTGCTCTCTCTTTTGTCGGAGGAAAGGTTTTCCTTAGTCTCCTCCTGG